TTAATAGCTAATGATCGTGAGCATTTCTTCATATGTTTGTTGGCTGCCTGAATATTCTCCTTGGTGAAGTGTCTGTTCATGTCTTCTGCCCATTTTTTAATTGGATTGTTTGTCTTTTTGTTATTGGGGTGTTGGAGTTTTCTATAAATTCTAGAGATAAGTCAAGATTTCGGGGTTTTTTGTCCAACTTCTTTTCTTTATATGGATCATCTTGTTAAATTTGTTCCCTCAAATTGTGTTTTATCATTATTATAAATGGTGTATTTTTTCTCATTTCTATTTCTCTAGAATAAAAGTTATGATTTCTGAATATTAACCTTATATCATGCTTTGATTCTGAATACTGTTTTTAAAGCCATCATGTGAAAAAAGAGATGTTATCTTCTCTTCCAATATTCATATCAATTATTTTATTTTGTTTTACTAGATTTAACCTACCTTTAAACATATGTGTAACATGGCAGTAGTTCTGCAAAAGGAAAATATAACTTACTAATTTAGTGTTCAGTAAGCAACTTGGAACCCCAGGCTAAGCAGAATACCCAGTACAGAGCAGATGCTTAGTAAATGCTGGCTGAATTAACTATATCATTCAACTGCTAATAAGAAGCTGGTGGTTCAAACCTACCAGCTACTCCTTGGAAGGAAGGTTGGGCGATCTACTTCTGTAGTGATACTGCCTTGGAAACCCAAGAAGAGGTCGCAATGAGCCGGGTCCGACTCAACGCAGTGCGTTGCATTGTTGCTATCACACATCTGTTGCTAGAGGCATGTGTTCTTTTATTAAATGCAATAAAGAGTTATTAAATGCCTTTTTATTTTAAACTAAAAATATTTGAGTATGTTAAAATAGAAAAATTCCAAAACCTGGAACCAAATGCTAAATTTCATTTAAATTACTTTTTAACAACCACAAAAACACTAACCTTCAAATTCAACTGAGACTTTCCAGTGTAAATTTTGAAGATGACGACGAAGTTTATGACTATTACAAGCTCTTAATTTTTCCTTAGGGCACAATGGACAAGTCTGTTTTTTTCCTGAAAAAGAAAAAAGACCCAATGAAGCACAGGCTATTCTAGCTATAAATGCTTGGATTCAGCTACAACAGGTAACAGGCACTCAACCCCTTCAATTCTTAGATAAAGTGCTTCTTAACTTTAGGGAGAAGTTTTTATCTCTGATCTATGAGGCAGTTAACAGTAACTTAAGCACATGGTTAGTATTTTTTCTTTGTTATCCTGAAATGATCTTTTCTGTTACTAGCTGATATTCCTGTCACTAGAGACAGAGTGGATGAGGAAGTGACAAATGGCACTGTGTCCTTCTAGCTGAACTGCCTGCCATAGAGAGCACTGCTCTATACTTTGGACAGGGGAAAGGGCAGTAGTTATCACCCTCCTTGACAGAGAGTGAGCTGGACAGAGAGTGTAAGTCTCTGCTGTGGTACTCTTTTACTACTATGACAACAAAACAAAAGCAGTTGTTTAATGTGTGAAGTTAACAAAAATTAAGAATTAGAATTGCTGTTCTGAGACTGGGGGCATGGTTAGACCACTATATACTGTTACTGAATTTTTAATTTATCTGGGGTTATCAATGAAACAGAAGCCTTACAGACTTACAAATGTATCTCAGATAAACTTTTCTAAGTTGTGTGTAAATTTCATTTTAAAGAAACACAATACACAGAAATAATAACTTATAATTAATCTAACAAGTATCTTTCATACATAACGCAATGAAAAGATAAGTACTTTTTTTAATAAAACATATCCTGCCTACTTCAAAAAGAAATTACAAGGGCTTAAGTTTAATAGATTGCAATGTAGGATACTTAAGAATAAAACCGGACACAGGCTTTTAAGCAAAAGGAGAAAAAGGTGCTATCAGGAATGATGGCAACATGGTATACAAGAAAGAGCACAGACATTGGAGTTAGGTAGACCCAACTTCACATTCTGGCACCACATCCTAGAATTGGCCATGAGATGCATGGTAAATATAGAAAAGAAGCCATCAGTAAGGTGGGAGGAAACTCAGGTGTGGAGAGAGACAGAGAGAGAGAAACTTTTACAAAAGAATAATTGCACTGAATGCTATAAAAACTTACTCTTTTCTTTTACATTTAGTGTTTCACACATATTAATACATTTAATCCTTACAGTAACCCTGAGACAGGTACTCTTGTCCTGCTGCAGCTGCCACTCCCCCTCCCTCCCCCTCAAAGGAATTTGCCCAAGGTTCTATAGGTAGGTAGTAGCAGAACTAAGATTGGAAGAACCAATCAAGTCTGACTTCAAGGTCCAGATGTAAAACAGCAGATCTCAAAGAATAGCCTGGAGACCTTTGGAGATTCTGAGACTTGTTTCAAGGGGTCAAAAAACCCCATAAAGATCAAAATTATTTTCACGATAGTAGTAATACATACTCTTTCACTCTGTTCTCTCATGAGTAAATAGTAAAGGTTGTCCCTTATAGTTTATTCTCTCATGAGTACAAAGTTTTCTAGAGGATCTTTGACATGTGATCACCATTAAATGTAGAAGCAGCTATGGGAATAAAACAATCTTCCAGTAAGCCAGATATTAAGACACTTGCAAAACTGTGCAGCAATGCTACTCTTCTTGATGATATATTTTTTTGTTTGGAAAAGTTATTTTCATAAAAATATGTTATTTATGTTAATATGTAATGATTTTATTATTAAAATGAATATTATTAAAATTATTGTTTAATTTCTAATGATGATAAACATTGATAGATGTAACTCACATAAACAAAAGCTCTTTTGGAGCCTCAATAATTTTTAAGAGCATATAGGGTCCTGAGACCAAAGTTTGACGTCCACTGTTAAAAACGTCTGTCCCATACATTCTCTCTGAAATGAGAATGAAGGAGTATATTTTGAACTTGACAAAGAGAAAGGTAATTAGTGTGACCTTGATAAAAACAGTTTCAATAGAGTAGGATGGTTAAATAGAGAATGAATCAAAGAAGGCAAACAGCAAGCAGAGGCAAATTTTTTTTTTTTTTTTTTTACTTTTGTCATAAAGAGGAGGGGAAGAAAACCTCATAGGTTACAGTTGGAAAGGGACATGGAATCATGTAAGGTTTTGTTTGTTACTTTTTTTTTTTTTTTAAAGAAACATATTATAGCATGTCTGCATGTTGATGGGAAAAATGCAATAGAGAGGAAATAACATATGATGAAGGAAAGAAAGGGAAGTTTTTAAGTAGGTGAGAAAAAATGATATACAAAATTCTAGTGAAGAGTTTGGTCACCAGTAGGGAAATATTATCTATTATAATAAGAGATTAGGCAGAAAACAGGTACAGATGGAGTTAGTAGTGTATTCTGTGATAGGAAGAGTGACTGAGTTTTTGACATAGTGCTTCTTTTTTGCCTATTTTCTTCAGAGAGAAAGAAGGTATAAAACATTTGTCTTAAAGAGTAGAAAAAAGAATTTACCAGGGAAATGTAGTAAAATTGCCAGGCAGTGACGGATACCCATTTGAATTCTATGATCAGCAAGATAGTTCATTTTTCTTGACCAACATTCACTGCTCTAGGGCAAGCATGACATAGATAGAAACATGGTTTTAATTAGGTTGGGGATTTGCCTGGCAAGTATGATGGACAGAGGTAGGGGACAAGAGTAATCAGGGTACTTGCTAAGTGATTATTGTCCTGATCATAGAATCTTAGATAAGTAAGGAAGGAAGTCCATGAGAGAGGTTACAGATTTAAAAATTGCCAAGATCAATGGTTTTAAGATCCCCTTTATTTTCAAATACTGCTAGAGTAGGGTTTTTTAGAGTAAAACAAGCTGAAGGATAGGAGGAAGTAGACAGAAATTAAGATGCTTTAAAACAAAACTTTAATGAAATACCTGAATTACTGTTAATAAAATCTATATAATTATTTTCATTCTAAAGATCACCTTAGAAATTGGTTAGTAAAGAAATGTACATTAAATGAAAATAACTGGGCTAACAGAAAAAATGGACAGAGATCAAACCATAATACAAGGAAAATGGTATGTGACCAAAACAAGTGTCATTTGTGGTCACTTAAACACAAAAAGGAAAACTTTACAAAAATACTATCTAAGACATTTTTCAGAATAATTTTAGTTTTTTATAAATTTGAGGAAAGAAAGTCATCTATTTTCATAGCATAATCTATTTACAGATTATTTACAACATTAAAATTTTTTAGTAAGTTATTAAAGGTGATAGAAATATTAAAAATAGAAATATTAAAAATAAGAGTAAAATACACATAATAACACAGCAGTAACTTCATAGTATCAGCAAGTTGTTTACCCAATTTATGTTCTCCCTTCATCTTTTCAAAAAGAAGTAAGTTTCTTCATAGTTGGTAATGTGCCCAGTTAAAGGACATTTCCCAGCTTATCCTATAGCCAAAGACAATCATTTGACATAGTCCTGGCCAAAAATATTTAACCAGAAGTCACTGGGCAGGCTTCCCAGAAAGTTCTTTAAAGGGAGCTGTCTTAGCCGGCAAACTTGATTTTCCCTTTCTTTTCTTTCTCCTTAGAGCATGGAAGTTATGACTGAAGTTCTACAAGTCATCTTGAACCATGAGATAATTCTGAGGATAAAAATCAAGCACTAAAGATGATACAGCAGAAAGACAGAAGGTGGGGCACTGACATCATGATGGAACTCTCACACAGGCCCTAAACCGCCTATCTTGGGAAGTATTTTATTTTTTATTGTGATTTGGGTGAAGGTTTACAGAGAAAATTCACTTTCCATACAGCGGTTCACATATACTTTTGTCTCATGACATTGACCACAGTTTACCACAATGCAACAGCTCCCCTCTCACTTCCTCCCCATAGTTACCTCTTTCCTGTGTCATCTCCATGCACTCCTCCCCCGAGCTGTCTCCCTGTGCATAAGCAGCCCTTCTTTCTCCCATGATTGTTCTCTCCAAGAAGTGTATCTACTTGAGGTAAATGTTCAACTCATATGCCTGTCTTTTGTTTGGCTGGAAACCACAGGTGTGGGTTCAATTCCAGACCTGAAGGGCAGCTAGGGGCCATAGTCTCAACGGTTCCACCAGGCTCTTATCGGACCAGCAAACCTGGTCCACTTTTTTTTTTTCCCTCCAAGTAATTTTGAGTTTTGTTCCACCTTGTTCTCCCTCTCTATCAAGGATCTCCTACACAGATCCCCTTCCAAGTGGATGACAGTGGTAGCCGGGCACCATCTCATTCTTCTGGTCTCATAGTCCTATAGACTGCAGATCGGATGGTGTACCACTCGCTAGGACTAATTGTTTTCATGAATTTTGGTTTTTCTTTGCTCTGGATGAGGAGAGACCCATCATTGCATCTAGATGGCAGCTTGCTAGCTTTTAAGATCCCAGTCGCTACTCGCCAAAGCAGGAGGTGGAACAATGTTTTGTATAGTATGTTATGCCAATTGAGCTTGATGTCCCTTGAGACTAAAGGCCGCAGGTTCAACTACTTGGTTCCTCTGGGTAGCTGGCTGTGACCAAGCGGGAAGTCTTTTAAATGAGAGAAAATTAACCTCCTTTATTATTTAAGTCACTATTTTTTTGAGCTACTACTCACAAACAAATGCAATTCCCAACTTATAAAACACGCAGGCTTTAGAGATCTACAGGATTATAGCTTCCTTGAGGAGTTGTGAAATATCTTATTTCTATTGCACGTTTGCACACAGGCGGCTATCAATCTCCTAAAGTTTGTTTGCTATTGTTCTAGTTCAATGGGAATCAACAAAAATCTATTGTTAGCAAACTATTTTCATGAATTGAAAGACGATAAACCATTAGAATGTAAAAACAAACAAAAACGGAAATACAAACAAAAATGGCAATACCTGTATCAAGATTATCTGAGTTCAATGAACTGGCAGAGTTAAAATCCTCTTCAGCTACAAAGGCTAACTTCTCTAGATCAGCAAGCTGCCTTTGAATTGAGATGTGTCTTTCTGAAAGGAAAGGTAATTTTAAGAGTTAATAATTATGATTAACAATGTGTATTCCGGTTTCGTTTTTATTTGATTGCATCACACAGACATTTATACTTTTATTTCTTATATAGCATAGTGTCCTAGTACTCAGATGGGGAATAACTGTCACAATTCACTTTACAAAATAACAAGTGTACTACAGAATTTTTGGGAAAAACTCCAGTATGTAACTATACATTTTATTTTATCTAATCATTTAATGCTGTTCTATAAGAAATGCTTCTGCTCTCCATGTTGTTGTTATTGTTGTGATGTGCTGTTGAGTCAGACCCGACTCATAGCGACCTCTCCTTGGGTTTCCGAGGTGGTATCACTACAGAAGTAGATTGCCCAATCTTTCCTTTGAGGACTGGCTGGTGGGTTTGAACCGCCAGCCTTCTGGTTAGCAGTCAAATGCCTTAGGCATTATGCCACCAGAGCTCCCATAAAACAAGGCAGGGTAGTTAAAAGTTGAAATCAACTTGATGGCACATAACAGGATGAAATGAATACTAGAGGTAAAGGTAATATGATACAGGCATACAGTGGAAGGAATAATTAATTCCAGTGACTCTGAGAATGTTTTCACTGAAGAAGTGGCATTTGACTTAGACTTAAGGTATAAATAGATTTCAGTAAGTAGAAAGTTAGTGGCTAAGCCTTAAAAACTGAAGTAAACTCATGAACAAAGGCATGCGGTGTAGAAGTGCAACTACCCCTATCCCACTCCTGGCTGGAACACAGTATGTAAATCCTTGAAGGTTTCTGAGGAAGTGAAAGATATAATTTGAACGCATTCCAGGAGGGCATCTCTGTCAGCAACAGTTATTGTTGTTAGCTGCCACCAAGCCAGCTACAACTCATGGCAAACACATGTAGAACAGGACAAAATGTTTCCTGGTTCTGCATCATCTTTACTTGAGTCTACTGTTGTGACCACTGTGAATTCTGAGCAACTTCCAAACTAGGAAGCTCATCTTATTGCATTTACATGATGTTGCGATCCACAAGGCTTCACTGGCTGATTTTCAGAGGCAGTTCACCAGGCCTTTCTTCCAAGTCTGTCTTAGTCTGGAAGCTCCACTGAAATGCATCCACCATGGATGACCCTGCTGTTATTTGAAATATCAGTGGCATATCTTCTAAAAGCATAGCAAGACGTAAGTCACCATGGTAATGGCAAACTCACACATCGGTGATTAATTACAGAGGTGAAAAATTAGTAATGGAAAGGTACAGGAGAACAGATGCCAGAGAAAAAAGCAGTAGGGACTTGGGCTTGAGAAGTAAGAGTAAAGCATAAAATTGAAAATAATTCTAATATTTTTAGTTTATGTTGTTGAGAATTATGGACCAATGAAGGAAGAAGAAAAATACTTAGCAGAAAGGAAGAGAGAAGAAAATGAATTTAGTTTTCAACAGTGTATTTGATGTAATGGTGGTTGTTGTTGTTGTTGTTTTGCTGTCGAGTCGGCCCCGACTCATAGTGACCCCTCCTTGGGTTTCCGAGGCAGTATCACTATGGAAGTAGGATTGCCCAACCTTCCTTCCAAGGAGTGGCTGGTGGGTTTGAACCGCCAGCCTTCTGGTGAGCAGTCAAGTGCCTTAGGCACTATGCTACCAAAGCACAATAAAGTAATGGTAGTGTTCATGAACTAATCCAACAAAAGACCTCTTTAAAGTGTTAAAAAGCAAAAATATGACTTTGATGACTAAGGTGTGCCTGACTCAAACTATGGTATTTTCCATTGCCTTATGTGCATTCCCTGAAGAAGGATATCATGCTTAGTGAAGTGGAGGGTCAATGAAAAAGGGGAAGGCCCTCAATGAGATGGATGACACGTCACTAACAATGGGCTCAGGTATAGCAAGTATTGTGAGCCTCCAAAGGATTGGGCAGTGTTTCATTCTTTTGTACACAAGGTTGCTGTAAGTCGGAGCCAACTCAACAGCACCTAAAAACATCAACAACATATGCATGCAAAAGCTGGACAATGAAAAAGGAATACCAAAGAAAAACTGACACATTCAAATTGTGGTGTTGGCCATGGAAAAAAAGACCAGGTTTGCTGGTTGATGAGCCTTGTGAGACCCCTGAGACTATGGCCTCTATAGTTACACTTAAGGTCTGGAACTGAACTCACTCCTGTGGCTTCTAGCCAAACAACAGACAGGCATATGGGCTGAACATTTACATCAGGTAGATACACTCCTTAGAGCAATCAATTGTGGGAGAACGCAAGGGTAGCATTTGTACAGGGAGATAACCTGGGATGGGGTGGGCAGAAGTGCATGGGAGGGAAGAGGTAACTACAAGGAGGAAGGGAGAAGAGAGTTGTTACACTGTGGGGAACTGAAATCAGTATCAAGAAACAAAATGTATATGAACAGCTGTATGGAAAATGAATTTGCTTTGCGAACTTTCATCCAAAAAAAAAACTGTGGCGTTGGTTAACAATATGGAATATACCATGGACTGTTAGAAGAATAAGCAATCTGTCTTACAGGAAGTACAGCTAGAACTCTCCTTAGAAGTGATGATGGAGAGAATTCAACTCGCTTTCTTTGCACACATCATCAAGAAGCACCAATTGCTGGAGAAAGACATTATGCTTGGTCAAGTTGAGGGTAAGCAAAAAAGAGAAAGCCCCTCAACGAGATGGACACAGTGGCAGTAACAATGGGCTCAAACATAGCAATGATGGAGGATGATGCAGGATTTGGCAGTATTTCATTCTATAATATAAAAGGTTGCTTTAAGTTGAAGCTGACTCACACAGCTTGGCACCTAACAGTATCTACTACAAAAAACAAACACACACTGCTGTGGAGTCAGACCCAACTCATAGCAACCCTTCCTTGAGTTTCCGAGGTGGTATTACTATGGAAGTAGATTGCCCTACCTTCCTTCCTAGAAGTGGCTGGTGGGTTTGAACTGCCAGCCTTCTGGTTAGCAGTCAAATGCCTTAGGCACTATACCAACAGTGCTCCCTCAACATCTACTAGGCAGTTGAAAATTTGTTTTTGGAGTTCAGGAAGGACAGTGAATGGACCATGAATACATGGTTGCTGTAACTATGAAAATGGGTAAGAAAGCCCAAGGAAAAAACATGAAAAAGTCAAGGAAAAAACCAAGATCCAGTCTTGTCTAACTATGATTCTTGACTGGGGAGTGGGATGCATCTGCTAACCCACTTCTGATTAATGTAAGTGGATATAATCTGGAAGTGAGGGATGGAGGGATGTGGGTATTATAAGAGATGTAGAGGAAGAAAAACCAAGAAGGTAGACTCAAGATAATGCAGATGCCAAGGGAAAAGAGTCTGTAAAAAAGAGAAAGTGTTCAAGATTGAGAATTATCTGAAACAATTATAAAGATGGAGAAAAGACTAGTGGATTGAGTATTTACTAGGTCCCTGGTAACTTTTAAGAAAGCATTGAGGTTTATGGAAGTAGAAATGGGATTAGAAGGAAAACTAAAGTACAGAAAATTAGTTTAAATTATTTTTTCTAGAAGTTTGGCAGTATAAAAAAGGATGGGATTATAACTTGCTTTTTTTTTAAAGGATGGAGCGCCCTGGGTATATGTGAATATATGTGCATAAAGGAAGATTTAAAAAGTGAGAGTATGAAGACTACAGACTAGGAGCTGAAAACTGACAGGAAATGATCCAAGGAGATAGCAGATGATAAGACTAACCATTGTCATATTACTAGGTTATGTATTTAGAACCTTATGCCACTTGCCATCAAGTTGATTCCAACCCACAGTGACCTCATGTGTGTCAGAGTAGAACTGTGCTCCTTAATGTTTTCAATGGCTAATTTTTAGGATGTAGATCACAAGGCCTTTTTTCTGAGGCACCTCAGGGCTGAAACCTCCAACCTTTAGGTTAGCAGATGAGCACATAAGCGATCTATACCACTCAAGAACTCCTATTTACAACTTTTAAGGTTTTTAAATTCTATTTTTCACATTGGCCCCCTCTTGCCTATTTCTTTCTGTTCAGCTTTACTCCTAATTTCTTTGTTTATCCTTTTATATAATTTGTGTCCTTGTTTGTCTCCCTCACAAGCAGTAAGAAAGGGACTATGTCTTATTCATCTTTGGAAGGACTAAGTGGCTACTGCAGTGACCTGCACACAGCAGGCACTACAGTTTATTCATTAGTAATTCTTAATAATTATTAGATTTTTGGTTGTAATAGCACATTGGTTCAATAATTTTAGAAATTCAATTAAGTACTATCAACTACTCAACTTAAATTTATTAAAATACAATTTTTCATCTTGTTTTTAAGTAAGAAAAAAGAAAGAAAAGTAAACATTATTGGTTAACTTCTTATACCAGGTATTGTTCAAATCACTTATAGTAAGATATAATTTCTGAACAGGCAAAATTTTTTCTCATCTGATCATAAAAACTTTTCATTGCTAGGTCAGATAGATTCAGGCAATGCATACAAACCATGCATACAATTCATGCACACAAACCAACCAAATTTAATTTGTAACTACAAAGCCTATTTGGCATCCATAGTTCAAAGATCTGTGTATGAGAAATAAGATATATATAATATCACTACATAAATATGTGCTCGTTAAAATCATTCTAACTAGCAAATAGTAGTAAATATGTAAAAGTCCTGGTAAGTCAGAAAACGTAGAGATCCCACTGGCCAACTGAAGAAAAATCTTAAAGACTGGTCTAAAACATTCATAAAGTGACATACATCTCTGAAATCACTTTCTGGTTAAAGATAATAGATACACAACCTGTACTTAAATCACTCAACCTGCTTTTTTCTAACACACTAATAATCCAGAAATTGATAGGCAAACCTCTTGCTAAATCAGATGAGTCCAAGATAAGAGGAGGTTCTTTTACAGCTTCTTCTGTTACTTTTTCCTCAATTTTCAATTCTATTTCAGATACTCCATCTTCATCTTGCATAGTTATGGCTGATTTCAAAGGGCTAATTAGACCATCTAAGAATAATTTTTAAAATGTGATTAATATATATTTTGGTTCTAACACATTATTAGATTTCTCAATCATTACATATTGATTAATTCATCCTCAGGTTTCTCATTTGCACATTCTAGAAATTACATACTTATAAAAGTTGGGTTATCTGAATAAACTTTCCAAAATATGTTTAACATAGTCTTAATGGCACGGATTAGGGTGGAGGAGGAAGCATACATTCCCCAAAGAACTGGGGTCTCATTCATATAAATAGATAAAATCTAGAATTGAGGTAGGGAGGCTACTTACTCAGGAAAGTATGTTCATGCATACCTCCACCCACATTGTAGATATGAACAAACAACTAGCTCTAACTAGACATACAAAATACGATCTTATATGATGAGGAAAGTCCTACTTGAGGCATGCTAACTTTTGTCTTTCCTGAGCTCAGCCCTACTTTTAAATCTACCACAGCAATTTATATGTTGACTTAAAATTGTAAAATAATTCTATCAGATGAGAGCTATTCAAGTGTTTTATAAAACATTATACTCACAACTAACTTAGAAGGAAAGACAATTAATTAATTAAAGCTGTAATTCAGAAAGAACACAGATCAATTTATGAACCACAAAAAAACCTTTCCAGTTAATTCTTAGACTTTATATTTTAAAATGTACAGAAGATCATTAAGACTGTTATGTATCAGTCTTTTAAATACCTATATGTTCCAGTAAATCACCACTTAGAAAATATGCAAATACATTCTGAAGCACAACAACATAGGCTATTAATTTTCAACAGTGGACTTCTGACTGGGGTACAAAATTCAATTGGTATTTATCTGTGGGGGAGATACAATTCATAATTTAGTCTACTTTTTAAACTATTTATCAGCCTCAAATTCTTTTTGCAAGCAAGCCGCTATGAATGAAAAAAAAAAAAAAAATCAGCCTGTGTATGTCGAGTCGTAAAGTTAGTTGACAGCAAAGTTATTATCTTGGCAGTTAGGATGTAATACAGAAAACAGGTTGCCTCGCTTACTATGGCACCTTTTAAAGAATTTAGTGAACCCTGCCAACTGGGTTGAGACGAACCAATTTCTGTGTAACTTCCTATTTTGTTGCAGGAAAAACAGTCCTTTAACCAAGAAGCCCTCAACCTCATTATTTCCTTCCATCTGCTCCACCCCCGGCCTCCACACACCCTTTACTATAATGTTCTCCAGGTTTGTGGAATTGCCTTCTGCCACTCTGTACCCTTGTTTTATCCGACACACGGCCCCTACCCACCCATTTCCCTAAGCCTGCCATTCCTCGTAAAAACCATCCCGGTGAGGAAGGGCCTCCCTTATTCCCCAGCAACGCGCACTTTATCGTTTTTCCTGCGGCAAAAAGATTTGGGCCTCCTGCACTTACTGCTTTGAGCCTCCTCAGGGGCAGAGGCTAGGGACGGGGACAGGGCCGGAGCCTGGGCCAGGGCAGGGGCTGGGGCTGGAGCCGAGGCCGGAGTCGGAGCCGGGGCTGGAGCCGAAGCCGAAGCAGGGGCCGAGGCCGAGGTCGGGGCCGAGTCTGGGGCCGGAGCTGTGACCCAAGCCGAGTTCTGGGCCGGGGTCGGGACCTGGGCCACTTCTACCTCCTTCTCCAGGGGTAGCAGCTCCTCCTCCGCCATATTCTCCATAGTTACCGCCTCCGTGCTAGACCCGCCCGGGACCAGGAGGGGGCTCACGCTGGGGTGACTGAACGGGCGTGAGTGTCTAGAGGGCTGGATCCGAGGAGTGAGAAAGCGAATGAGGGGAGAAGGGGGATACGTTCAACAAACCAAAAAAAAAAAAAAGATCAGTCACTAAATCCTGTCAGCAGAAAAATAAAAAGCCAGAGGCGGCGACTCTAGGTCCCTTCGATTCTCTTTCCCCGAGGCGTTACGACGCCACCAAATACCGCGCAGAAGCGTATCAAGGACGGCATCCAATGAGATAAGAGAGTTCCGTTTCCTCTACGCGCTTCTGTTCCGTCGGTCAACCACGGCATCTAACTAAAACTACAATACCCAGGGTGCAGTGAGCCTCCTGGGGTGGGGCCGGAGTTCGAAGTACAGGAGGAAGTAAATGCAAATCAAAACAGATGCTCTGGAGTGTTCTGGGGGTGGTTAATCTGGATCAGAGCACAAAACTACATTTCCCAGAGGGCACTGGGCTCGGGGGTGGGGGTTGTCCTTACTCGTGGCGTGGGCCGCCTCAGTCGCCAACGCTGCCTACAGTGATAAGGTAGGGGACTGGGTGATGCGTTGACATTTCCCTAGGCCGGATCCCTCGCCAGCCTCAGGTGTTCCAGCTGGTGGCAGACCGGTAAGCCTGGGGAACGAAGGGGCAACTTTTGCCTGGGCGGGGCGACTCTCTGGGTGGCTCTTAGGTAGAGCCTGCTTAGTGGAGGTGTGGTTCGGTCCTGGCCCTGCCTTTAGGGCTTTCACTAAGCTTTAGGGTTTCGTTAGCGACTGTGAAGCAGTGGGTGAGAAAGGGTTGGAGCGCGCACCGCGGCAGCCGCTGACAACTTCTTTAGTCTGAGTGACTTGGACTTGGGGTCTCCTCTTCAATGTGTATCCTCAATAAACATCTTGCCCTGGACACCTTTTTCCCCCTTATTTTTCGTTTTGCATTAGCCTACATTCCCAGTGTTGTCAGCGTTGTGCGTCCTATGGATAGAGGTTTTTGTTTGTTTGTTTTTGTTGTTTAGCGCTTGTTTTTCGCCAGAGCCCTGAGTGTACTGAGCTTCCGGGCATTTGATTAATGGGATTCAGATTCCCCAAGGAAATGCCCGTGAGTCCCTTGCCCTCCACAGTTATCTTTGTCCATTCATTCTCTGTACCTGGTTGCGCTCAAGTCTCACTCGTTCTCCTGCCCACTGGAGCAGATTGGAGAAAACTGTGGGCTTTCTAGCTTCTCTGATTGTGACTTGTCTGAACGTTATAGTCATCAGGGAATGACAGGGAAGCCCGTTTTTGTCTCAGTTACAAGATTCACACTTCAGTTAAGCTTTCCTCGTTAGTAAAGGTGTTACATAATGCTGATATTATTGGCCTGTTTACTTCCTGCTCGTTTCAGAACCCAGAGGAAAGCGTGTTTATTTTGGCACTTTGAAACCAACAGGGAGCTGTTTTTTCCTCTTTAGTTAAGTAGTATTTTTTTTTTGTTGTTGTTCTTTTGTATTCTTTCCTGCTAAACTGTGAGTTATAGTCCTGAAATTCTCTTAGCATCTGTCCCTCTCTTGCCCCCAAGCTACTATTACTGGATGAATAGCAACTGGCTGTTTAATAGTCGTTTAAAAATGGAATAATAACACCGATTATAATTTATAGAAATGTGTAGTGGCTTAACTATAATTGTTTATCATCTAAGAAAAATTGATTTTTTTTTTCCCCTAAAAAACTGGATGGTTAATTTTTTTCTTCTGTAGGATGAGATTCTTGGGACAAGAAAGGAAGGATTACTACTGTAATCTGGAAACTGAATTCAACTAAAACCCACTGAAAAGGCTGTAAATCTTTACTGAAGCAGACTGCCATATCTTTCTCCTGAGGAATGGCTGGTGGGTTGGAGGCACCAACCTTTTGGTTAGTAGCCAAGTGCTTTAACCACTGGACCACCACTGCCATAAATTATCTTACAGAGCAAAATTTCTGGGTAATTTTGATCTATTCTTAGAAGTCTATGTTGAATTTGTTACTAGATTTTCTGTTAGCTAATTTTTTTCTTTTCACATTTATCAAAGCGTTCTAAAAGTTTGGTGTAGTATAATTGATCACTTTTAAAAATTTCACTTATTTTGGTCATGACTGACCAGCAATATTTGGAATTGCTTGGCACATAACAACAACAACAACAACAAATTATAGGGTGGAAACCCAAGAGGGGTCGCTATGAGTGGGTCTGACTCGAAGGCACATAACAACAACAAGGCTTGACTAGTTATAAAATGATGATAAACTTCCAGATTGTTTTTTTTAAGTCTCTCATTAGGTGCCCACCAGGTGCAGAGCATGCACAGTAATGGTCAACATGAGGGACAAAGTAACCTTTGCACCAGGGGGAGGAGAGAACAGGAATCTCTCACTGGGACTTGAACTGGGGTCCAGAAACATCACACATGCATAACTGGAACCTCAGAACCCCACCTATTTCACGAATAAAGATACCTCTTTCCTGCTGAAGACACTTTATAAACTTTAGGAATCCCTTTGTTCAGGGAAGACCAGAAGCTAGCATAGGCAAAAGCACCACTCCATCTCTCCCTTGAGAGGCCTCGCCTCTCCTCTCTCTCTAATAAACTTTGGTTTCCTGTGGACATTTCTTACTTTCAACTCGCTGCCATCAAGTCGGATCCAACTCACAGTGACCCCTCCTTGGGTTTCCAAGGCAGCATAGTACCTAAGGCACTTGACTGCTAACCAGAAGGCTGGCGGTTCAGACCCACCAGCCACTCCTCGGAAGGAAGATGGGGCAATCTACTTCTGTAGTGACACTGCCTTGGAAACCCAAGGAGGGGTTGCTATGAGTCGGGTCCGACTCAACGGCACATAACAACAACAAAACATCACTACAGAAGTAGATCACCCAGTCTTCCTTCTGAGGAGTGGCTGGTGGGTTTGAACCACCAGCCTTCTGGTTAGCAGTCAAATGCCTTAGGCACTACTCTACCAGAGTGGACATTTGCTTCAGATCAATTCTTTGTCAGTAGAAGGCAAGGACCCCTGGTCAGGGTCTCAGTCACCCTTATAACAAGATGCCTCCCCCATGCCATTTTGCAAGACCTCTACTGATTTCCTTAAACCCACTGCCACAGAGTTGATTCCTACTCATAGCCACCCTCTAAGACAGAATAGAATTGCCCCATAGGGTTTCCAAGGCTATAAATCTTTAAAGAAGCAGATTGCCTGATCTTTCTCCCATGAACCAGCTGGTGGGTTCAAACTGCAGACCTTTTGGTTAGCAGCTGCATGCTTTTACCACTGCTCTTCTTTTTTTTGGTAGCTATTGAGAATGGTATTGATTTCCTTATTTCGTTTTCAACAATCTCTTTGCTGGTGTAGAGGAATCCAACTGATTTTTGGATGTTGATCTTATATCCT